CTCAGATAACCACTTTTATAATGAAGTGCTGAGTGGGACGGCAAGGAAGGCTGCAGTTCATTGCCTCCAAATCAGTTTTCACTGAATAAAGTGTCCTCAAGTTCCTGCAGACCGCCAGTGGCAGGGCTCTGGTGACAGTGTGTTCCAAGTTTTTTAGTGGTGGTGGCGGCATCAGTTTTCCTTTGAAACATCTTTCTCCTGGAATTGTTTGCTGGTCATGCTCAAGCGCTGGGCACAGGAGGACACGGGGCCTTTTTCTTTCTTTCTTTTTCTTAAAAACAAACAAACAAAACAAAACAAAGAAACTTGTCTGGAAATGAGTAGCATTCCTTTGAATGTGTGTCATTGTGCCCGTCTGTCCGTCCGTCCGCCCACCTGCATTCCATCAGGGTGTTGGGATACAAACTTGAATAGAAATGGAAGAGGAGAAGTGGCTGGCAAGCTGGCTGGCGCTGTGGGAGCTTCTTCCTCTTCTCAAGGGCAGGTCGTTCTGCCTTAGCAGCACACAGGACAGGCCTTGTGGACAAGAGTGAGATGCCAGGAGAGGAAGGGAACCATTTCCACAGAAGTCAGATTCCCCTGCTCCCAGAACCCCAGCACCTCTGACCCTCTGAAACTGTGAACTCTGACCTCCGCGCCAGCTTTAGTCTTCCTTCCTGTCCCTTCCCAGTCCCTCCAGGTGGAATCCCCTTTGCTTCATTGGACTTGGCATGACCTCACCTTTTCCATTGGTTTTGGCAGCTATATGGATGGCTGCCTGTTGCCATGGTGTCTGGCTTTACAGATGCCCATAGCTGCTCTGCTGAAGGGTCCTCATGGCTCTTGCAGATGTGGCCTGCTTAAGCTGCCTTTTCCTGCCTTTTTGTCTGCTGTCATGTTGTAGTTATTCCATCAGAGGTTTGTAGACGGTGCTGAGCTCTCTGTGCTTCTGGACTTGGACTCGAGTAAATGAGCCTGGGACCCTGAGGCCTTCCTCCCTCTTACCTGTGCTAACAGACTTCTAGACTTCTAGACCACTGACCTAGCCTGCCTGTAACCACGTGGTAAATAAGCAAATCTGGGAGGGATTAAAGACTGGGAAACAAGGACACTGGTAAAGCAGTGGAGAGGTCTTAGGATGGCAGGTGTGGTGCTTATTACCACCCACCCCAAGGTAACACTAGACAGCAGTGCAATTGTCTCCCCAGAAACATTCTCTATTCGAGCTCCAGAGAAAAGCAGCCCACATGTGCCCATTTGGGAGAAACTAGGTATACAAGTGAGGTGGCAAGGTAGGACATTCCTCAACCAAAGGAGAGAGCACAGACATGTCTCACAGCTTGAACAAATCCTGCTGAGTGAAAGAAACCTGTTTACAAAGCAGCGCCCCCACCTCTGGAAAGAAACATGGGCACACAGGAAACAGTGTTGTAAAGTAATGCTCTCAGCTCAGGACAGAGTTGAGTCCTAACATTGGCGATGTTGATGAGGGGGACTTCACATTCAAACAGTATATTAGTCGGGCTTCTCTAGAATCACAGAATTTATGGAATATCTCTATGTATTAAGAGAATTTATTGGAGTGACTTACTGTTTGCAGTCCATCTAACCCAACCATGGGCAGCTGTGAATGGGAAGTCCAAGAATCCAGTAGTTGTTCAGTCCCACAAGGCTGGTTGTTTCAGCTGCTCTTCTGTATAAGCTGGAATCTTGAAGAAGTAGGTTCCAACAGATGTGCTGGCAAGTAAGTGCAACTAGAGAAAGAAGCGTTTGTCTTCCTTCTTCCAATGTCCTGATGTAGGCCTCCAGCAGAAGGAATGACCAGGATTAAAGGTGTGTGCCCCCACACCTGGATTTGAAACCTGCTGTGTCCCAGGCTGGCCTTGAATTCAGTCTCCTGGGATTAAAGGTGTGTACTGCCTTGCTTGGGCCTCAGCTTTTCATGGCCACTATGCCTCAAAATCTAGATCAAAAGTGTGTGTCGTCCCATGTCAAGTTCTAAGTCAGAAACCTGTGTCTTCCAGCCTCAAGATCTGGATCACAGTATGGCCACCATTTCTGGATTGTAGTTCATTCCAGATGTAGTTAAGTTGACAACCAGGACTAACTATCACAAGGTGTTTTGCCACCACAAACATCTATGAGGATGTGTAGGAAAGGTAACTGTTACTTGCAGGTAGGTAAGGTGTGAGGATTAGCTTTGAGTTTTTCACATTTTGTTTATTTGGGCTGGCAAGATACTTGAGTAGGAAAAGGTGCTGCTGCCTGAGTTTCATCCCTGGGGCCCACATGGTGGGGAGAACTGACTCCCACAAACTGTCCTCTGACCTTCACGTGTGTGCTGTGGCATGCACTCGCACAGTAAACAGTTTAAAAGAAAGGATTTACCAATCGTGTGTGAGACTGTTCAGGCACACAGAAGGCATGGCACACATGATGGTCAGAGGCCGGCCTCGTGGAGTTGAGCCTAGCCTTCCACCTTGTTTTGGAGGCAGGATCTGCCATTCTTGTGGCTGAGTTAATTATTCCCGTTAGTTGGCCCAAGAGCTTCTGAAGGAGACCTGTCTCTGCTTTTCATCTCTCCACAGGAGTTCTTGGATTACAGACGCGTGCCACCATATATGGCCTTGTTCTGTTTTTCGACATGGTTGTGGGATTGGAACTCAGATCATCAGACTTACCCATGGAGCCATCTCTTGAGTTGGCTTTTGTTTATTTGTTTACAGTGCTGGGGATTGAACCTAAGGTCTCATAGCCCTGCCTTCTTTTTTTGCTCCCTCTGCTTCCATGTGCAAAATGTTTACAGGCTCTGTGCCCTCATTATGTGATACTGGAAGTGGAACCAGGGCTTCATGCATGCTAAGCAAGCAGTACCAACTGAGGCCTATTTAGACAGGGTCTCAGTTGCCTGGACTACCTTGACCTTGTGGCCCTTCGGATTCAGCCTCTGAAGCAGCTGGGTGATAGGCCTGGGAAACTACTGGCAAGAACCAAGCATTTTCAGGTGGTACTGAGTGTGTACCCTGCTTGTGGGAGAGTTGATTAGTTTGTCCTGGTTCCAAGCAATGGCTCAGCTTGTGTTTGAGGACATTAACATGCATACCTTTTGACTCAGTTCTGTTTTTTAGCATTTATCTAAGTTTGTGTCAGATTTGTGACAATTATGTTTACAGATATTTGTTAAAGTGATTATAAGAAAGTAAAGTGGCCAGGGATGCTAGTTTGCAATGCTAGTATAGGAAAAGCTGCGGGCAGGAGGATTGCTGTGAGCTTGAGGCCAGCCAGGGCAGCATAGTTAGACCCTGACTCAAACCACTTAATCCTTCCAATAAAAGTAACTGGAAACAGCTGGGCCAGTGATTCCCAATACTGGAGCTACACGGTGCCAAAGTCATTCTGTGGGCTCCGGTGTCCTGGATCCAGTGGAGAGCTCTGTACAGTGGAAGCATCCATCACCATGCTGTCCTGTAGCACAGCCTCTGACCACATGCCCACTGGACGCTGAGATTGGCACAGCACGGGTGCTGAACTGTTTAGTGTAGACTACATGCTGGCACTGCACACACCTAGAGCCAGTGCTGGCTGAGCTGTCCCGTCCTCTGTGACATGAAAGCAGGCTAGCCAGGTTTGGTGACAAATGCCTGAAGGCTGAGGCAGGAGAATTATAAGTGTAGTCTTAGGCTCTAAAGTGCATTCAGAGGGAAACTTAGTGAAACCCTGCCTCAAAACGAGACTGAGGTGTTTAGCTGAGAGGCACAGCATTCATCTAAAATCACCAATAAGGGACTGGTCAGCAGTAAAACTTGACTAGAATCCGCCAGTGAAGAGCTTGGGGCTCAGTAATAGACTATCTGCCTAGCGTCCTGCATGAGGGGCTGGGAATATAGTTCAATGGTAGAGTGCTTGCTTAGCAAACGTGAGGTTGAAGGTCCAATCCCTGGCAATATACACATGCACGGGGGCACATGAGCACGCGCACACCCCCACACAGTGTTGTTCACAGTGTTAAGAAGGTTAAAAAAAAAACCAAGAAAGTAATTACTACTTGAACATACAGAGAACTCTCCACTCAATAAGAAAAACAATTCAAAACTTTTAAACAGACAGTATTTGGAAAAACATCACTCAGGATGGTGACACAAACAGCACAAAGCCTGTAAACAAGCCTGGTGTCGTTGGCATTGGGGCAATGGAAATTGGACCTCTGGAAGATGCTGCTAGATGCTTCCAGGCTAACTTGAAGGCTGGCTATGGCATGGCAGGGAAGTCAAGTGGTGTCACCACTGTGGAAGATAAACAGCCCCAAGTCAGGACTGAGCTCACAGCACAGTCTGTGCGTTCACAGCACAGACGAATGTACAGAGTCGGCTGTACACACCCACTGAGTGAGGCCTCTAGAGATTACACTAGTGTAGAATGCAGGGCCATTAGGTGGGGGCGGGGGATCCCCAGAGCTAAGGTTACTTCAGGCTGTGGTGACCATTGGCAGACGTGCCCTACTGTACTTTCTTATTGTCACACTTCAGCATAGCCTTACTTTTTTGTTTTGTTTTTTTGAGACAGGGTTTCTCCGTGTAGCCCTGGCTGTCCTGGAACTCACTCTGTAGACCAGGCTGGCCTCAAATCAGAGATCCACCTGCCTCTGATTCTGGTGTGCTGGGATTAGAGGTGTGAGTCACCACAGGCTGGTGAGAAATACTTTACATTATGACTGTGATCCTCACTCCTCCTTTTTTGAGGGTGAGTTTTGGATATTTTGTTTTAGTTGGTTTAACTGGGTTTTGTTTTGTTTTGTTTTGTTTGAAATGGGGTCTCACTCTGCAGCCCAGGATAACCTGGAACTGTTTAACTCAAGCTGGTCTGAACTTGCAACAGTCCTCCTGCCTCAATGCAGTTGCAAGCTGCCAAGCCTAGCTCTCCTTTCTGTCTTGAGACATTCTGAACTTTGAGTCAGTCAGACTAACCACTTTCTGCACAGACCCTGAAGCTGTCTTTGTGGCTTCCCATTTTCTCCTCTCTAGAGAGCCGACCTGGCCTGGGCTGCCGAGAGCTGGTCTTCAGGAACCTCTCCAAGGTGCTTCCTGCCATCTGTCACGATATCACCGACTGGGTGGTGGGGACGAGGGTGAAGGCAGCGCAACTGTTGCCAGTGCTGCTGTTGCACGCCGAGGACCACATCACACAGCACCTGGAGATCATCCTCAGAACCCTGCATCAGGCATGCGCCGACGAGGAGAAAGCTGTGGTCAGCAGTGTGAGTGTCCTGCCATTCAAATGGCAAAGCTCTCAGCCCTGTAGACATCAGTTCTCTAGTCACTCTCCTCTGCCCTTCTCACCTCCTCATATTCAGCCACTGGCCTGGCCCTGGTGGTGCCTCCCGGCACTTTGTCTCACCTTTGAGTTCACAGGGCAAGCACGTGCAGCAATGCTCTGCTTCCAGTGTCCAGGCTGTCTGCAGTTGGCTTAAGAGACTGGCGTTTCCAGCCATTTCCACACAAACCTCGGGGAGAAGTGGGGGAGTCTGTTCATGTGTGTTTCCATAAGTATGACCATGAGTGTGCTCTTGCTTGTATGAGTACATGTGCAGTTGTGTGCATGCTTATGGAAGCCCAGATATAACGCTGGATATCAGTTGCTGTCCATGGATTACAGGATCTCTCACTGAACCAGGAGCTCTCAGATTCAGCTAGTCTTACCTAGCCAGCTTGCTCCGCGGTCCCATGTCTGTCTCCTGGGTTCTGAGGCTGTCATCCCTTCCTTCCTTTTCCATGGATGCTGGGATCTGAACTCTGATCATCAGGCTTGTGCAGCAAGAACATTGTTCCCTGAGTTACCTCCCTGGGCCTTTTCATGAAACGTGTGAACATATGTTTTGTTGGCAGAATGAAGGATTTTATATCTCCCAATATGGTTTATGAAGAAGCGGGAGGGGCTGGTGAGAAGTGCTATGTGCAGGCTGCTGTGTCCGTGCTCTGTGCCTTCCCTGTGTGCTGCTCCTGCCTGCTCTGTGGTGCAGGTGCAGAGCTGGCTCTGCAGCTCCTCCTGGCAGCCCTCACTGCTGCCCAGCTCTGTGTCATGTCCTCTATGAGTGCCCTGTTATGGAGACAGCAGCGAGGGGCCTGTGGGGCTGGCAGTGCAGTGCCCTGCATTTGGTGTCACGGTTTTGCATCTCAGCCTTGTCCTTGGCATTCTTGAATTCCCCAGGGTGTGGAGGCATTGGTTGTGTGAATGAGACACTTGGGCTGCTCTGGGCTGCTCGTGTCAAATAAGGCAGGAGAACCAGACACACGGCTTCAGTGTCCTGGGTCCCATTTGCCTTGGTCTCCCCCATGAGAGAAAGGAGGGTGTATGCTTCCCTGCAGGTCCTGTAAATCATGCCCTCTGACAGGTGGAAAGCCCTGTGGGTAAGCCCAGTCACCAGTGGGAGCCCTTCCTGGCTGTGGCCGTGTTTCCAGAACTCTGCGTCTTCCCCTCTTTCTTGCAGTGTGTAAGAGCTGCAGAACTCATTGGCACCTTCGTCAACCCAGAAGTATTTCTGAAACTGATCTTAGCCATGCTGAAGAAAACATCCTCTGCCTCTGGCCTCTTGATCCTCGCTTCTGTCATCCGGGGTTGCCCCCGGAATGCCCTGCAGCCACACCTCAAGGTCATAGCCACAGAGCTGGCCCAGGAGCACATCTGCCAAGGGTCTGAGAATGTAAGTGGGTGTCTGGAAGGGTGGGCATCAGAGTATCCAGGTGCTGGCCATCTCTGAGTGTAACTGCTGATGCTGGCTAGCGCACTGGCAGCAGCACACCCAGATGCCACTGTCAGCAGTCCTTACTTAGTCCTGTGGCCACCCACAACAGGTAGCCATTTAAATTAAGATTTCCTCTTGATAGTAGTGTCATTGGCTTGGACAGCTTGGGATACAACCATCTCCCAGGAGAATCCAGCTGGCCTTGCTGCTGTGGATAGTCATAGGTCAGGGACATGGGTCTGAGGGTATCCTGGGTCCTAACCTGGAGATGGACTACACACCACATCATTGGTGTGAACTGCACATCCTCAGGGATGTCCATGTCACTTAGCACTTGAATTCTATGTTTGAAGTAACCACTTGTGACCTGACAGACAGGTTTGCTTTAAACTGAACCAGAACAGCCTGGCCTGGACTTTACCACTGGGATATGTTCTGGTTGTTTCTACTGAGGGCAAAATGAAGGTTGCTATGTTGGAGTGTGTTAGGCATACCCTCTCCTCAGTACCCTGATCCTTTTATTGGGAGACTCTGTTCTGCTCACGGGCCAGTATACCTGTTTAGGCCTCAGTGCACCCAGAGATGGCTCAGCTCTGGAAAGCTGGGTGGAGGGATAACCACTGACTGACAGATGTCAGCACCGGTGCTCTGTGTAGCCATTTCTGTTGTTGTCGTGACAGACCTATAGGTGTGGTGTTGCACACCTGGTGTCCTAGTTACTTTGTTAGTGCTGTAATGAAACACCATGACCAAGGCAATTTACAATAGAAAGTAGTGGGGGACTTAGGATGTCAGGGGGTTAGAGTCCATGGACATCATGACAGGAAGGAAGCATGGCCACGGGCAGGCATGGCACTGGGGCAGTAGCTGAGAGATTACATCGGATCCACAAGCACAAGGCGGCAAGATAAAGCCCACCCCACAGTGACACAGCTCCTCCAACAAGGCCATGCCTCCTAACCCTTTCCCAGCAGCTCCGCCAACTGGGATCCAAGTGTTCAAGTCTCTGTGCCTACGGGGGCCATTCTCATTCAACCCGTTCACTTGTAATGCCGGCGTTTGGGAGGTTGGAGGGTCACAGGTTCAAGAACAGCTTGGGCTACATAGTGAAGCTCTACCTTAATGGAAAAAAAAGAGGAGGTAACTAAGACATTTTATTTTTAAATAACAAAATACTAAGGGAACTTCGTGGGAATAGGGCTGGAGTCTTGGGAAGGAGTGAGGAAGGACCATACTCATGCACTTAACCCCACTAGGTGTCCATGTTTCCCAGAACTCAGCTAGATAAATTGCCAATCTGTCAGCTGCGTGTTTCCCTGGAAACACAGAACATTCCCCTTCTGGAAGGTGTGGCTTCGAGTCTTGAAGAGGTATTTCTACATCTCTTACAAACTTGACAGCAAGGAAATTGTGGCCACGTGATTTCTTAGTGTCGCTCCCAGAGAATGTAGATCTCCTGGCCTTTCAGGTTCGTTTGTGCTAGCTCTTAGCTAACAGGAGAGTTATTGTCCAGCCTTGTAGCAGAAGGGGTTGATTTCTTTTTTAAGATGTATTTTGCTTTGTACATGTCTGTGTACACATGAGTGCAGGTGCCATGGAGTCCAGAAGAGGGCTAGGAATCCCCTAGAGCCGGAGTTACAGGTGTGAGCCACTGGACAAGAATGCGGGGAACTGAACTTGGATCCTCTCTGCACGAGCAGATGTTAGCATTGACCATTGCTCAGCCGAGAGGAAACTGACAAAGCTTGAGAGCACAGAAGGACTCCAGAGGCCCTTCTCCTTCCAGTGTGCTAGCACATTCTCGTCCTCTGTCCAGGGACCCTAGGCTCAGAGAAACCTAGGATGGACACATTACTTTCTTCTTGCTGGATCTGAAAGGACAGAGGTATTTCAGTGGGCTCAAGGCCCATAGACTTGGAAATTGACAGCTCAACTCCACAGTGCCTCCCTACCCACTTCATGTTAAGTTGTTTGGGATGTTGGATATCTTGTGGTCACAAGAACATGATAAGAACCTCTTTAAGAACAAACTGAGGGCTGGTAAGATTTCTCAGCAAGTAAACTAACTTGTTTGAGGGCTGGTGTGTAAGTATGTGAGCTTTTATCTATGGCCTATGTATGACTTGCCTGTCACTGCCATTCCTGTTTATTCTGTGCTCTGTGACCCTGTGGAATAGACGAGGTAGAGGACTGATAAAGGACATGAATGCAGAAGGAAGCCTGTGGGATCTCTGTCTTCCTGCAGCCTGCTGCCAGTACTTCACAGGGTCCCCCTGGCCACCCAGCCATGGGTCCACAGGAAATGCACCTGAAGCCAGGAGGGGCCAGGAATGCACAGCTTCGCCTCCTGCATCTGCATCTGTCAGAAAGCCTGTGGTCTTTCTGTGGTGCAGACTATTTTAAAGTGGATCCAAGACACTCGGTCATTTCAGCCTGGGAATGTCACAAGGTTGTTCACTGTGAGGTTTGGGGGGTTGGTTGGTTGGGGGTTTTTGTTGTTTTTGTTGTTATTGTTGTTGTTTTGTTGAGACAGTCATGTGTAGCCTATGCAGAACCTAAACGAGGTAGCTGAGTTTGGCCTTGAATTCTTGATCCCCCTGCCTCCACCTTCCTGATCCTGAGATAATAGGCCTGTGAATGAAAAAAGGGAAAGGGACAGAGGACAGGACCTCTCGTAAGGGGCTGAGGTTTTGTTGTAGATAGAAGGGAGAGCAGAGGCAGAGACAGCTGGGGCAGCCCATGAACATTTCCTGGCAGACTGAAGCCTTGTGAGGAAAGGGGAATAGGGCCAGGAGCAAGCCAGGAGACCAGGAGGCTAAGCAGGAGGCCAGCGTAATCAAAACGGCTGGGTTATACAGGAATCGGGGAAGTTAGGGGAAGGAAACTCAGCCCAGTCCCTAGGCTAGAAAGTTTGGGGTAGGAACAGGTGTGCCAGCCAGAATGTCCGTAATGGGAGACTGCACTCACTCCACACCTGGGCTCTCACCCAGGAAGGCAGAAATTCACAAGCTGCTTTTCTGCATACGTGTCCTTTCTCATTCTTATCCCATGTCTGTTTCATAGGTTCCACAGAGCACAGAATAAATACATATGGCAGTTTTGTTTTGGGGTGTTTGTTTGTTTGTTTGTTTGTTGTTGTTTTGTTGTTGTTGTTTTCGAGACAGGTTAGCCCTGGTTGTCCTGGAACTCACTCTGTAGACCAGGCTGGCCTCGAACTCAGAAATCCACCTGCCTCTGCCTCTCAAGTGCTGGGATTAAAGGCGTGTGCCACCACTGCCCGGCTGCAGATGACAGTTTTAAGTTTCAAGATATGAGTAAACATTCACAGTGTGTATTCTTTGTTTTGTTTTGTTGTTGTTGTTTTGAGACAGGGTTTTTCTGTACAGCTCTGGCTGGCCTGGAACTCGCTTGTAGATCAGGCTGGCCTCTACTTCCCAAGCACTGGGATTAAAGGCATACCCCACACCATTTCCTGGCCCATAATATGTATTAATCCCTCTGTAGCTTCTCTGCTGACCCACTGTGCCCTTCTCAGTGGCTGTGCTCAAGTCAGGGCCTGCCGCCTTCAGGTGGGGTCTGCAGCTTCTCTGCCTCTTGCTGCATGCATGGGTACCACACTGACAGTGGGCTGAGAAGGGAGGGATGCTGACTCCTGCTGTTGTCTTCCAGAATCTCTACCTGGAACATCTGCTGCTGTGTGTGCAGGCTCTGCTGTCTGTGTGTCGGGAAGACTGTCGTGCTGCCAGCCTGCAGCTCTTGGAGGTGCTAGTGACAATAATGGCAGTCTCAGATGCCGTGGGTCTTGAGAAGAAGGTAAGCGCACAGCACGCTGCACTGCAGTCTCTTTCCACAGGAGATGTAGTTGTCTTCTGTCAGCCTCCAGCATGGTTGCATTTCAGACCTAAGGCAGGCTTGAGTAGCAAAGATGAAAGAATTCAGAATATTTAAAAAGAGTCTCTCACAAGATGGCCCCCAGGGAGTGAAGGCTGTAATACTGGGACGCTGGACAGACCCTGTGCTGCCCTTCCCTAATCTCTTGTGCTTCAAAATGTTCCTGTGCAACCAAAAGCTGTAGATAGAGAAGGCTGATGGCTGGCCTGTGGAGCACAGTCCTGGAGTTGTTTCTGTCCTCTTTTTTTTGGTTTTTTGAGACAGGGTTTCTCTGTGTAGCCCTTGTTTCTGTCCTCTTGACTCTGCATTTAAGTTTTAATATATCTTTTTTCTTTTTTTTGTTTTTCTTTTTTTTTTTTTAAGATGTCCTTATTATGTAGCCCAGGCTACCCCTGAACTTCTGAAGGCCAACTTCTGTCTCACAAAATAAGGTGGAGAGTGACTGAAGTAGACACTAAGTGTCAACCTCCGTTCTCCACGTGCACGCACGCACAGATCTGTTTATCCCTGTGAGCCTCAATAACCGTCTGGGGCCAGGTGCTACTGCCTCAGGGTGAGCTAGAGCAAGGCTCTCAGCCACCCTCCTGGGCCTGCAGGAGGGTTAGCTAGCCTGTGGAGACCTGCCTGAGGGGGCCTTTTCCTCTCTTGTTGGATACTTTCTCAATTCAGACTCTTCTCTGTGAAGAAATCTTTGCCGAGCGTATGTGTCATATGTCATCAAAGATAGCTTGTCACTGACAGGACTATGAGTTCTAGCAAGGCCGTGCCTGCAGGCCACAGGAAGGGAGCCAAACCCATCAGATCAGGAACAGAGACATGACCCCACTGCCCTGGGGACTGTCAGGGGCTGCCTGGTGTACTAAATCCTCCTTCTGCCCACCACTAACCTTTGTAGTGGGTTCCAGAGAAGCCAGCAAGTCATTTTTACCTTGAGGTCTGGTCTGGGTAGGAGAGCTAAGGGGGCAGAGTACAGGCAGCCATCAATGGGCACTGTTTACAGTTTGGGGGATTTGGGTGGTGGCTTTGTTGTGTTTGTGAGGGTGGAGTTTTGTTCGTAGCTGGGGGTTGGGCCAGGGACTCATATATTGGCACACACTACACTATGCCTGTTTCAGCCCTCTTCCAGTCAGTTGTTTCAGGGCTTTTACTTTGTTTGGGTTTTTGTTTTTTTTTTTAGTTGTGTACATATGTGTGTGTTTGTGGGCATAACCACATGTGTCCTGAGAGACCAGAAACATCGGATCCCCAAGAACTGTAGTAACAGATGGCCGTGAGCCCCCTAACTCAGGACATCTACAAGAGAGCTAGCTATACATACTCTTAGCCATTGGGCCATCTTTCCAGACATGGATTTTTGTGTCTGTTTTATTTGTTTTAGTTTTTTGTTTGTTTGGTTGGTTTTTTAGACATAGGGTTTCTTCCTGGCTGTCTTGGAACTGTCTTTGTAGACCAGTCTGAACTGAAACTCATAGACATCTGCCTGCCTCTGCCTCCTGAGTACTGGAATTAAAGGCATGTGCCACCACGCCCAGCTGGACTTTTTAAACAAGATCTTTCTGTGTAGTGCAGGCTGACTTTGAACTCTTAATCCTCCTGCCAGAGTTATCTATAGTGTAACAGTTTCTTTTTTTTTTTTCATGTGCACAATGTGCATGCAAGCATGTGTGCATGCACGTGAGTGTGCATGTGTGTGTACTTTTGAGAGATTATTTGATTTGTGTATGTGTGTGTGCGTGCAGTGCCTGCAGAGGGTGGACGAGAGCTTCAGGTTCCATGAAGTTAAGAGTTGTGAAGTGGAAGCTGGAGAGATGGCTCTGCTCTTCCAGAGGTCCTGAGTTCAATTCCCAGCTACCACATGGTGGCTCACAACCATCTGTAATGGAATCTGATGCCCTCTTCTGATGCGTCTGAAGACAGCTACAGCGTACTCACATATATAAAATAAATAAGTCTTTGAAAAAAAAATTTGTTTAAAGTTGTGGATATGACCTGTTCATCGTGAATGCTGGGAACTAAGTTTAAGTCCTCTGCTAGAGCAGTCGGTGCCCTTAATTGCTGAGCCATCTCTCCAGCCCTACCCACTTGCTTATCTGACAGTCTTTTACTGGCTCACTCAACAGGCCAGGCCAGCCAGCAAGCCCTAAGGACCACACCCACTCCATCTCTGCCTCTCCATTGCCGAGATTACAGGCATATACCACCATGCCTGGCTTCTCATATGGATTCTTAAGACCAAATTCAGGGCCTCGTGCTTACGAATGACTGGGCAGTCCTGCTCTCCCCCAGCCCCGTCTTTAAAACTAGTCCCTGTTAGCATAGCCTCTGAGCAGCTTTCAGGAAACACATGCATGCACAGACATGCTTGCTCGTGGGTTCGTAGACACACACACAAATGAGCTGTGCTTCTTGGGTTGCTGAGTGAATGGCTTTGAGTCTGTTACTACCTACTATAGACACAGCACTGACAGAGGCAGGAAGTGTTGTGGAGAGGCATCAGCCCTGATGTAGCCCTGCTATGGCCCCCTGCCTGCTCTTTGGTGGGCTGGTCCTACAGTACTTACCTCCTGGTCAGATGCTTCTGTTTAGCTGATGTCTCCTGTAGAGTCCAGTTGGTCTTCTCACTTACATTTACTGATGTCCTTTTCTTAGACCTCAGATGACAAGAATTGTCAGGAATGGTAAGCTTTAAAGAGTAGACTCCAGCCGGGCAGTGGTGGCGCATGCCTTTAATCCCAGCACTTGGGAGGCAGAGGCAGGCGGATTTCTGAGTTCGAGGCCAGCCTGGTCTACAGAGGGAGTTCCAGGACAGCCAGGGCTACACAGAGAAACCCTGTCTCGAAAAACCAAAAAAAAAAAAAAAAGAGTAGACTCCAAGCCGGGTGCTGGTGGCACATTCGTTTAGTCCTGAGTTCAATTCCCAGCAACCACATGGTGGCTCACAACCATCTGTAATGGGATCCGATGCCCTCTTCTGGTGTGTCTGAAGACAGCGACAGTGCACTCACATACATGAAATAAATAAATCCTCTAAGGGGCGAGCGAGATGGCTCATAGTGTAGAGTTGCTTGCCACCAAGCCTGACAACTTGAGTTTGATCCCTGGAATCCAGATGGTGGAAGAGGAGAGCTGACTCCTTCAAGTCATCTGACTTTGACACATGGACCGCACGGTGGCCCGTGTACCCTCTTCCCTGAAAGGAACATCAGTAAATGTAGCCCTGGAAAACAACAACTGAACTCTAAAGTTGGGGTTATAACTCAGCTGATAAGACTATTTACCTAGTATGATACAGCATGAAACTATGTTAGCACATGCCTATAATTCCCACACTCAAGTTAGAAGCAGGAGGATTCAGAATATGAGGTCATCTTGGCCAGCCAGACTACATGAGATCCTGTCTCAAAAAACCTTTTTTTGTTGTTGTTGATTTGGGTTTTTTGTTTTTTGAGTTATTTTATTTTATTTCATTTCATTTTATTTTATTTTATTTTTTGAGACAGGGTTTCTCTCTGTAGCCCTGGCTATCCTGAAACTAACTATAGATCATGCTAGGCTCAAACTCAAGAGATCCAACTGCTTCTGCTCCCAAGTGCTGCAGTTAGAGGCATGAGCTGCCACTGCCACCACTCAGCCAAAAAAAATATTTTTAATTTAAAAATTAGTCTGGTCCCAATCTTTGTATACCCTCTTCTAGGCTCAGAAGACCATGGATACGCTGGCTGAGGTGGAGGATCTCCCCAGCAGTCGGGATGTCTACCGCAAGCATGTGGGCGCACTCCTGGAGCGGCTGACAGCCTCCCATGGCGAGTGGACAGTGCACTGTGTGCAGCTGCTGAAGTTCATTGTGCTCCTCACGCAGGCAGGTGAGCGTCAGGGAAATGGCCTGGACCCCGACATAGTTCTCGTTAGAGTGACAGGGTCTTGCTGCATAGCTCAGGATGGCATCAACCCAGGTCTGCTCCTGCTTTGTCCTCCCACATGCCAGGTCACAAGCAAGCCACTGAGCCCAGGAGAAATGTCCTCCACAGAAAGCCTTGAAAATAGGGTGTACCATGGCTTCCTTTAGAGCTTGTGTTTTCAATATGTCTGTTTTGCAGTGAAATTCAGCATCTCTAGCCACAGAGGCTGTTGTGGAAGTGAGAAGCGTTGCTTTAGAACCCTTAGTGGGTTTTATTTTTATTCTGTTTTTTAACATTTTTAATGCCGAGAGGTGCGGCCCCCTTCACAAATCCCACTTGAGCCCCCAGCTCTGGGGAGGAGAAGCTGTAGATACAAGAGGCATGGCCCCCCTTCCAGGCTCCAGCCATCCAGCATGGCACTCTCTGTGCATTTGCCAGAAGGCATAGTTTGCTTCGGTGTTTTAGAATATGGACAGATCAGAAGGCAGAGGTGGTATCTAAGGACTGACGAGATGGCTCATTCAGTCAGGTGCTTCTTGAACAAGCATGAGGATCTGAGTCTAATCCCCAGAGCCAGTCATAAAATGTCAGCTGTGGCATTGGAGAGATGGCTCAGCAATTAAGAGTACCTGCTGCTCTTGTGGAGGATATAAGTTTGGTTCCCAGCACCCACGTGGTGGCTCACAGCTGTCTCTAACTCCAGTACCCGTTGATCTAATGCCCTCTTCTGATCTCTGCATACTACTACCGGATACACACGCACATGAACACGCACACACACACACACACACACACTCAGTGCACATCCAGGCAGTAGTATCATGTTCCTGTAACCCTGGCTCTGGGGAGGCAAAGACAGGAGGATCCTTGGGACCTGCTGGCCAGCTAGTCTAGGTGACTCAGGGAGCCCTGGCTGCAGTGAGAATTTGTTTCCAAAATGAAATGAGGAGCTCTTGAGGAGAACGCTTGATGTCAAACTCTGGCTTCCATGTGTGCATGCCCACACAAGGGAATGACAGCAGGCCATCCGCCTCTCTGAGAGGACCTGCCTTGCTGGATAGGGTTGCTCCTGGCCCTGTGATCCTGTATCATGGGAAGGTTCTGCCACATCCTTCAGGACCCAGTACCCTTTCTTCTCCTGGCCTGTGTCAGCAGAGGGGCCCTGTGTACTCAGCCTGGCTGCAAATAGGGGCATTGTTGTACTTTGAGTGTGGCTTGGTGAGTGCCCTGTGTGGCCTCCGGTTCTACCACAGTCAATGTGGCTCTCCTTTCCGATTGGCCCAGCTCACTCTGGGGCCGTTTCCCACCACCCTCTGGCCCCTAAGCTCCTGGACCTATTCGGTGTCTGGAAGGTAGAGTGTGGGCATCGAAACCTATGTGTCGGGGCCTTTGAGGCTTTCTGTTCAACTTGCTGAGATGTAAGACCAGAAGTACAAGGACTCACTTAGGGCAGCAGCTGCTCCTGTCCCTGTCACTGTTGGCACAGCATCGGGGCTGCCTGTCAGAGCAGAGCACTGAGGTCACATTTGTCTGATCTGACCAATGGCAGAGCACACCCAGGTCTCCAGCCAGGAGCTAAGGATGCAGCTCTGTTCCCTGTTTCCAGTCCCCAGCCCCAGGAAGAGCTGGACCTGCACTAGAGCACATTTCTTGGGGTGAACTTGTTTAGTATTGAAGACTGGGTCTCATGCAGCCGAGACTAACCGCAGACTTGGCTATCTAGCCAAGAAGAAACCTGAAGCCTGCCTCTTGCCTCCTGTCTCCTAAGTGCTGGGGTTACAGCTTTCCACCCTCATGCCTGCTTTATGCAGTCCTGGGCTGGAATCCAGGACCCTAAGTGTGCTAGGCAGGCACTCTATCCACGGATGGATGGATAGCCCTAGCCCCTCACTCTAGATAATTTTCTTGACAGTTTCCTTCTCACTGTAGTTGAGGTGAGAGAGTCAGCTTCCCTCTCCTGCAGCCATCCCCTTTCTTCCTTTGTGAATGAAACTCCCGCCTGAGTACTTGGTTTTATTCTGAGTGCTGCCTCATCACTCGCAGGTTTCTGTTTCCCTTCTCCTCAGACCCACACCGTTGCAGGTAGACACCGCTGCTGCCTCCTTAAGCCTCCAATGCTCCTTTACAGACACTGGACCTACAGGGGTTTGAGAAACTGAATCTTGAAATGGGAGGTTTAGGTGGCTCGCCATGTTGTCCTGTTGTAGAATTAGCAAACTGTACCTGGGATTATGCTAAAATACTAAGCCCCACTTAGGGCTCTGGGCACATCTGAGAAGCGCTTGGGGCCGTGTTCTGGAGAGTCAGCCATATATGTCCAACTCTAGAGACTGTATCGTTCCAGTCACCAGGCAGTGAGCCCTCAAGTAAGAGGTTGCCTATGAAGTCTTTGTGACCTGGGGGAAGGGTAGCTGAAGGGACCAGATCCTGTTTCCTGGCTTTCATACCACAAGGCTTGAGCAGACGGTGGACATGCTTTGAATGAATGCTTTTGGTGCTTTTTTTTTTTTTAAGCGATATCTCTTGACTTTAGTTTTAGGAGTTTGAATGAGTAGGCCTTCGTTGAGGACCATCCCGGGTTCTTGTAAAAATGCCAGGCATTTTGTTGGTTGGTTTGTTTTATTTTGTTTTTCAAGACAGTGTAGACTGTGTAGCTCTGGCTCCACTGGAATTGTTTGTGTAGATCAGGCTGGCCTTGGATTCAGAGATCCCCCTGCCTCTGCTCTGCCTCCTGCTTGCCAGGATTAGAGATGTGCGTCACCATGATGATGTTGGCCCTTGGAGAGGTAGAGACAGGTCAATCTTGGGCTCAGTGACTTGCCAGCCTAGCCTAATCATTAAGTCTCAGGTCCATGAGAGACCTTGCCTCAAAACAAGAAGTGGATGATCACTAAGGAACAACTGGGGGCTGAGATGCTGTTTCAAGTTCAGGGCCAGTCTAAATCCTCTGTCAAAAGAAAAAGGGGGCAGGGGAAAGGGTTCAGCCATGAAGACCTCTTGCTGCTCTTGCAGAGGCCTGAGGCTTGGCTCCTAGCACCCATGTCATATGGCTCATAACCACTGTGACTCCAACTCCAGGGACGTCATTGCTTCTGGCCTGGTCCTGCAGCTCTGCACACATCTTCAGGCACACATACACAGTATTAAGAATAGTGAAGTCATTTTTTAAAAGGTTTATTTATTATGTATAGTGTTCTGCCTTCATGTATGCCTGCAGAAGAGGGCACCAGATCTCATTACAGATGGCTGTGAGCCACCATGTGCTTGCTGAGAATTGAACTCAGAACTCTGGAAGAACAGCCAGTGTAGCCTCTGAGTTATCTCTCTAGCCTCCAGAAGTAAATTTTTTTTCTTTTCTCTCTCTTTTTTTTTTTTTTTTTTTTTTTTTTGGTTTTTCGAGACAGGGTTTCTTTTAAGATTTATTTATTTATTTATGTATGTGAGTACACTGTCTTCAGACACACCAGAAGAAGGCGTCGGATCCTCATTACAGGTGGTTGAGAGCCACCATGTGGTTGCTGGGAATTGAACTCAGGACCTCTGGAAGAACAGTCAGTGCTCTTAACCACTGAGCCATCTCTCCAGCCCTAATTTTTTTTTTTTTTTTTTTTTTTTTTAAGAAAGAATTTAGAAATTGTAAAGAGAAGCTGGATTTGTGTCTTGGTCATGTGATGGGGATGCTAGAGATGATCTTTTGTTAGTGTACTCAGCCGTTGGGAGAGCAGATGTCAGGAAGGGGAGCTGTGCACCGTGGCTTGCAGGGCGCCTTCCCTTGCACTCCTGTCCCTGAATCTGTCTCCTGCCCCAGCAGGGAGGCCTGGGACGCCATCAGCTGGCTGCAGCCCCTTTTCCCTTTCCTAGGCCCAGCTGTGGGAGAAGCTCTGCAGTATGTGATCCCCACCCTCAGGGCCTGTCTCCAGCCCAGCACAGACCCACACATGCGCCTGAAGCTCTTCTCTGTCCTGTCCACGATGCTGCTGAGGCCTAAGGACACTGTCGACTCTCAGGGGTAGGTCAGCCCTCAGGTCTGTGTCGGAGGGGTCTTCCCACGCTGCCCTGGCCAGGGCCCCCAAGGTCCAGGCTTCTTGGTGGTCTGTATCTCTAGAATCCACCCCACTAGATAAACAGTGATCTTGGTGAGTGCACCACAGAGACACAGACAGTAAATCAAAGTCACTTTAGGGGAGTCATTAAAATTCCATCGAGTGAGAAAGTTTTAGGGCATATTAACTATTAATGGCTTCTGTTTCGCTGTTCTGTTTTAAAAGCCTTTTGGCACCTTTTAGACGGAACAGACCTGACTGAATTAGCATTGATGGTGAAGGCTTAGGGGTAGCTTCTGTTATCTCAGAAAAGCTCAGAGGCAGCTCTGCAACCTAAGAGCCTCCAATTTTATAGCTTTGAAGTAAAGAGAAAGTGGAACAAAGAGCTTAGGAAAGAACAGGCTCTCGGGAGGAGGGAAGCCAGCCAAGACCAGCCCAGACCAGCCAGCCCATCCTGGGAGAGGACGGGAGAGCGAGGAGCTGAGTGTGGTGTAGAAAATCAGAGCTGCCCTGGAAAGAAGACCACATATGTATGTGCACGTGTACACACATGCACACACACACACACACACCACACACACACGCACGAACGGTCAATGCCTTCCTTGGTTCATTGAACAGAATAAGATTCAAATCATTCTGGGACCTCCCAATCCTGACAGCCTGGGTCTTACAGATGGAGACCTGAGTTGGCCCCGTGTGAACTCCTGGGACACCACACACACCCCACCCCACCCCCCACAAAAACTAAAAAAAAAAAAAAAAAAAAAAAAACCTGTCACCATGAAGTGTGGTCAGCAAACTATAAAGTTCCCTACAAGTTGGTCGTTCTAACCTTTCTCCTTTGAGTGCACTCTTACTGTGGGGCTGACTGCCAGCCTCTTACACACTGCAGGAAATTCTGTTTCCTGCTATCTAAAAAACCTCAGGGCTGAAAAGGGACCATAAAAAGGTATTAATGAGCGTCTTTGGCAGCAGGCCATCGAGCAGGCGTGTACACGGGAGTGGAGTGAGTAAATGACTGGGCTGCCACCAGGCCGTAGCGTTTTCCACACACCCCGTGTGCTGAGGAACAGTGCCACCCCTGACCCACAAACGCAGCTGCCAGGTTTGGGCCAGGTTCCCAGTGACACACTTCAGACCTCTCCAGGGATCAAGTCAGTCTAGAGAATCCAATTATGCAGATGAGCTACTGAGTGAGAGATTGCTACTGTTTGGGTAGGGACAGTCTGACAATAGCATTGTCTTATAGTTTCTATTCCATGAGTTCTATTGCCATGACAGAACACCATGGCCAAAAGAGATTTAAGGAGGAGTTTATTTCACTTGAACTTCTAGATGACAGTCCATCACTGAGGGAAGTCAGGGCAGAAACCTGGAGCTGATGGAGAGGCCATGGAGGAGGGCTGCTAACTAGCTACTTGTTGGCTTGCTCTGCCTGCTGTGTTATAGCACCCGGGACCACCAGCCGAGCCGTGGCACCACCCACAATGGGCAGGTTCCTCCCATCTCAACCACCAATTAAGAAAATGCCCTGCAGGCTTGCCTACATTCAGTCATGATGCCCTCAGTCATGATCTCTCAGCTAAGTGTAGTTTGTGTCGAGTTAACATAAAACTAGTCAGCACAAAATACCATTTGGTTTTGATTTATACATCACAAAATGATAGAGTGAAAGGTTGGTTGTCCAGTCAAGGCTCAGTCTAAGGATGTCATCTCTGGCAGGGAGTCAGGATTCTCAACTTAGAGAAGCTCTTCCAGCAAACCCGAGTGGTAGCACCACAGCATCCCACCTACCACACAACCGAGACCCCCCACTCCCCCTACCGCTGCCTCACACTCCTGTCTGAGCTGTAGAGATGCCTGTGAGGGAGCGGGAGGGAACTATAGAAAGCTCTACCCAAGCCACTGCCTTTGCTTCAGTCCTTTTGGTAGCCTTGAGTAAAATTTCACGTAAAAATTGTGGACTAGGGCCCAGTGGGATGATTGAGTGAATAAAGACATCTGCTTCCAGCCCTGACAACCTGACTTCAGTCCTCAGGACCCCCATGGTGGGAGAAGGAAGCCAACTCCTGAAACTGTCCTCTGACTCCATGTCTACACTGTGGACATGTACCACACCCCACCCACACATACAATACATAAAGAAAATGTAATGCAAAATTAAGGAACAAAATGACAGCCTAAGGCCTAGGAATGTAGCTCAGTCGGGAGAGTGGTTCTCCAGCTCACAGGAAGCCTTGGGTTCCATCTCCAGCACTGCATAAACCAAGAGTGGTGGTGTATGCCTGTGATCCCAGCACTCAGGAAGTGGAGGCAGGGGGATCAGATATTTCAGGCTAGCCTAGACTATAAAACAAGACCTTGTCTCAAACACTTGAGGTATAGCTCAATTGGGAGAGCGCTTGCCCAGCATATAGGGCTCAGTCCCCGCCTGGACGAGTTGGGAGTGGTGGATATGCCTGTAGTTCCTGCACTCAGGGAGGAGACTAAGACATTGAAGATCATCAGCTCCAGCTATATAGAAGTGCTGTCTTCAGACACACCAGAAGACGGCGCCGGATCCCATTACAGATGGTTGTGAGCCACCATGTGGTTGCTGGAGTTGAACTCAGGACCTCCGGAAGAGCAGTCCGTGCTCTTAACCACTGAGCCATCTCTCCAGCCCTACATAGGAATTTGAGTCCAGCCTGAACTACATGAGATCCCAGCTTTTTAAGTTAAAAATGAAAGTAGATTATGGACCAGCAGCAGTGGGGAGAGAAGTCCTGAGCACCTGGCAGACTGTCTGCTCTCTGAAGGGTGAAGCCCTGAGCAGTCTGTTAGAGAAGGCCTGACAGACAGCTCTTCTTCATAGAGCCTCACATTAGTAAGACTTGCTGGCATCTAATGTATGAGAGTTTTTGGTTTAGAAGCATTTGTTTTGTCTTTAAAGCATAATCATAAAAGAAGATGTTTTGTGTGCGTGCAGATACCTGAAGAGGCTCTTAGAGGAGATTGCGTTTCCCTGGAGCTGTGGTCACGGGGTTGTGAGCCGCCTGGTGGTTCCAGGGACCACACTCGGGTCCTCTAGAGGAGCAGCGAGTGCTCTTGAGCACCAGGTCATCTCCAGCCCCGTGCTACTTTTTGTTTTTCTTGGTTTTTGAGACAGGGCTTCTCTGTGTAGCCCTGGCTGTCCTGAAACTCACTCTGTAGACCAGGCTGGCCTTGAACTCACAGAGATCCTTCTGCCTCTGCCTCTCTAGTGCTGGGATTAAAGGCGTGCGCCACCACACCCAGCCCTTATTTCTTGCTTCTTTTGTTTTAATGGTATAGAGGGCAGGTTCAATGGATGGTGATGGAGGCGCCATGTGACCCACATAGCTGATCATGGTGCAGCACTTGAGCACAGGGTCCCCACCCCACACCCACCACCTTACCAGGTCACTTCACAAGGGTCTCCTTGCAGAGGGGCACAGGGTCAGGTCCAGTTCCGTTCCCAAACTGGAGCGTGTTCTTCAAGAGTAGTCTGTGTGTCCTTCTTCACTTGCCCTCTTGTTCCAGACAGTTCCATGGCTACCTAGATACGGTAATAAATGACATCCTAGCCCCCAACCTGCAGTGGCATGCAGGGAGGACAGCTGCAGCCATCCGGACAGCTGCCATATCCTGTCTGTGGGCACTCATCAGCAGTGACATCTTATCGGCCAAGCAGGTAAGGACAGTTGTGACCAATTGTTTGTCCGTGTGACCTTATAGAACTGTGTCTTTCAGTTTGCAAGGAAAGCTCTAAAGGGCTGAGGTCTTAGTGCCTGGTTGTCATAGGCTCCATCTCCTTGAAGGATCTGGGATCTGGTCTCTGCCTTAGGTTTACAAACTGTTTTAGTTTCTTGTCCTGTTGCTATGATAAAATACCCTGACAAAAGCAACTCAAAAGAGAAAAGGGTTATACCAGGTCACAGGTAAGGTCACAGTCCATCATGGTACAGAAGTCAACGGCAGCAGGAGCTTGGACAGCTGGTCACATCACATTCACAGTGAAATGCAGAAGCGTAGTGGTGTGTGCCTTTAATTGGAAGATAGAGGCAGGTAGATTTTTGAGTTTGAAGCCAACCTGGACTACATAGCCAGTTCCACGCCAGCCACCGTTATATAGTGAGACCTGTCTCAAACAGAGGAGCCGACAGCAGGGAATGCAGGCTGCTGCCCAGCTCAGTTTCTCATTTTATATACTCAGAACCTCAAGCCCAGGAATCGGTCCTGTCCACATGTCAATTAGCCTAATCAAGGTAGTCGCCCAGAGGCATGCCGGAGGATACTCAAGGTCCTAGCAGGTTGACAGTTAGCCCTAACCACCACACAAACCTATTAAAGATTCTTTAAGTTCCTTCCTAATGTACGTGTCTCACTGTAGCATAACCAAGACATTTTCAGCTGGGAGTTGTTCTTTTACAGATCTTGAGACATTCCTGCTGTTTGTTTTATACGAGTCTTCAAAATCAAATGTACTTTACAGCTGCAGTGCACTATGATGCGATTCTGACTGGCCACAGCCCAGTGCTCCCAGCTTGTGGCTAAGGTATTGGACAGTGGTAATGGTGGTGGTTAGCAGCAGATCTCAGAGTCACAACTTGAGTATGAATCTGAATCCATCACTTAACACTCTGCTTATCTATCTAAAATGTTCCTTTGATTCTTATGGCTATAGCATGAAAAATGGGATTTTCCAAGTTTAGCCCTCAGCATGGTGTCTACAGTGAGAGCTGCGCCCCCCCCCCACCCCCGTGCCAGGCTCCGTGACATCATTCACATACTTAGGCAGCTACAGTGTTGGGGCTAAAGAGACGGCATGCCAGTGCCAGCACCTGCACCTGACTTTGGATCCCAGCATCCATGCTAAAAAAAAAAGGCCAAGCCTGGTCCCAGGGGTGACTAGCATTGTGAGAACAGAGGGTGGTGGCTGGAGAGATGGCCCTTCCGCTCTTGCAGAGAACCCAGCTTCAGCTTCTAGCACCCGTGTCTGCTGGCTCACAACTCCAGAGGATCTGATGCCCTCTTCTGGACTCTGAAGGCATGCACATGGTGCACATACAGACGAGCAGACAGCACACACAGAAAGTGTGTGTGTGTGTGTGTGTGTGTGTGTGTGTGTGTTGGAGAAGGATGATGGAAGATGTCTGGTATCAATTCCTGGCCTCCGTAAGCACGTGCACACACATGTGCGTTATGTCTGCTGCAACTGCACACAGAATGATTGGTACCAAAGCAAGTCCTCCATCAGGTACTAGTCTTCTCCTAAATCAGTTTCTACTGAATGCTCTTCAAAAAATTCCAAGCTTAGAATGAGGGCTATCCCTGGGCTGAGTTCTACCACACAGAGATGAAATGGCCGAGGTGGCAGGCTAGGCCTGAATTGCTGTAAGCATGGCTAGTGAAGTGAGCCAGAGACTGTAACTACAGAAACTGTGCTTCTGCTTCTGCATGGTTCCCGTGCCATCCACTCACAGCATGTGAGCGCCCCCTGCTGACAGCAGAAGGTTGTTACCTGACTCTCACGTTGCACAGCAGCATAGGTAGGATCGGAGGACCTCGACTGAGCAAATTAAAACAGATATGATTGAGATGATCTGAAATTTAGAATCAAGATCTGAGCCGAGAGAACATTTGCTCTTAGAGAATGCAGTATTTCTATTCCTAGAACAGCAAAGCTGCAGGCAGAGCCCTCCCTTTGTGCTGTGATCTAGTCCCTCTTGACATGGATGCCCTCCCCAAGGTCCCCCCACCTGCTTCTCCCTCCATCTTCCCACTGGTGCCCTACCTGGTCAGCCATCATCCTGTGGTCCCCCACTGCTGCACCATGAAGGTCCATTTCCAGAAGCCCTTCTGCTTCCCTGGAAAGTGGTACAGAAGCATCCACTAGGTGGCAGTACACACATAACTCACCTGGCACCACCTGCCCTCCCCAGCCCTCTCACCTCCTCAGCAAAGGTGACTCCTCAGGTTGACCATGAGAGCCCTGCTCAGGCTGCTTAGAGACCTGGGAGCCTTTCACTAGCTCACGCCACCCTCACTCTCCTGTCCCATGAAGCCTTACAAGTGCATCTGAATGTGGTTTATCTCCCAGGCCCACCCTCATTACGTGCTAGGCAAGTGCTCTGCATGCGAGCCACACCCTAGCCCCTCCCTGGGGGTTCTCAGCCACAGCCCAGCCTCTCACTGGGGGATTTTAAGCAAGTCTTCTGTGGCTAATCTGTACTCCTAACTGACTTTACTTTTAATTTTGAGACAGGAGCTCAGTAAGATTCCTCAGCTGGCTTTGAACTTCCTCTAGTCCAGGCTGACTGAATTATGAATGTCCTGCCTCAGCTTCCAGTGCTCACTGGGATGTGACAGGGCTCTGCCCAGCATTAACTACTTTCAAAACAATAACTTCCCTGTGACAGCTCTGTGGCTCCCATCACTCCCTGCCTCTTCTCTCTATCGCACGCACCCCTGGAAAACCGCCTACACTTCAAATTTTATTTTAGTTAGAGCAAAAGGTTCTTTTGTTTTAATGGTATCTGTGGTGTGTGTGTGTGTATGTGTGTGTTCATTCATGAGCGCCAGAATAAACTTTTGAATATCCTGGCTAGTTTTATGTCAGCAAGACACAGGCTGAGGTTCTCCGAAGAGGAGGAAATTGCAATTATGAAAATTCAGCTGTAGTAGGACATTTTCGTAATCTGTGATTGATGTGAGAGGGGCAGTACATTGTGGTTGGGAACACCCCTGGGCTGCTGGCCCTGGGTTCTAAACGAAAGCAGGCTGAGCAAGCCAGTAAGCAGTACTCCTCTATAGCGGTAGGTATTAGAAAAAGCGGGCGGTCTGGCTAGCTCCTGGCCTCCGCCATGTTCTCGGTCTAACAGCCCCTGCTAGCCAGGACCCACGGGATGTTGGCGTGGCTGCTGCCTCCACGTCAGCTCCGTGGCATCCATGGCACTAAGCATGGCCCTGGGCCAACCCCGCCACCCTCACAGTGCTCGGCTCAACCCGACAATATTCTTGCAGTACCCAGTAGACTGAAGACTCTTAATGCTTAAAGGTCACTCAGTGGATTTATATATCAGCAAATACTCAGTACACACGATGCCCACACACTTAGAATTGCTAACCCGATTACCTAACCTTGATGTTTATAACTACCTTAGACTGCTAGAGACAGGCGGACATCCGCCTCCCTCTTCTGTCCTCTCTCCCCTCCTCTCATTCCTTCCGCCTTCCAACTCCTAGCTTCACCCACCTCTTCTACTGCCCAATCACTGGTCTAGCATTTATTTTACAAATTAAGGTGGGCAGAAGGTTCACAAAGTCACCTGTATACTGATTCACTCTGGAGCCCCTCCCAGGAAAGTAGAATTAGCATCAAAATTCAAGACCAGGGCTATTCACAGCACTCCTCCATGGCCACTCCATGCGTCTGCCCCTGCCTCTAGGTTGCCATAAGATTTGAGTTCCTGTCTTGGCCTCCCTCAGCAGACTATGATTCAGGATATGTAATCCAAATAGCCACTGCCCAAAACTGTTTGGTTATGATGTTTCATCATAGTGACAGCCTGCCTGAGGAAGACAGCATCAGAAGCTATCCCTCACCGGCTGTCCACTGTGGTTTACAGAGGATTGCTTACTGGCCTGGTACTGGCTAACCATCAGACCATAGGGATCCTGGATTTCTGCTTCCCTGCATTTGGAATATAGATGTATACCACCACACCCAGCTTCTACATGGGTGCTGGGGGTTGAGTTTGATTCTTGCAAGCTCTTTATCACCTGAATCTTCTCTCCAAGCCCCTCATGGGTTTTTTGTTAGTTTATTGATCCCCCCACCCCACCCCCCTTGGGATGGTTTTCTGCAGGCCAGGCTGTCCTAGAACTCCCTGTTTAGCTGAGCCTGCCCTTGAAGTGCTGGGATGACAGGTGAGCTGATTGTCTCTGATTCATATGGTCAGCTTGCCTTGTGTGGCCTGGCCTATCCTCTTAGCCAATAACAATAAGTGACCCAGTGCCTGTGCCTGTGGGGGGTGGCTACACCACACTGAAGTCGGTGGCCTGTAATCCCAGTGCTCAGGAGGCAGAGGCAGCCGGAGCTCTTGAGTGTGAAGACAGCCAGGGCTACACAGAGAAGCCTCGACTGGGAAAAACAAAGAAATAATTAAAGTGATTCAAGGGTCGACAAGGTGACTCAGCCTGAGAGCCTGCGTGTGCTCCCCAGGAGCCATGTGGTGAAGGGACAGAACTGACTCTTGCAGACTCTGCACATGTGCACCTGCACACCCACAGACGTACACATGGAAAGTAACAAAACTTGTGTTATTAAAAACAAAACCAAGAAGATTCAAGTCTACTTGTAGGTGCGATTTGACATAGCATTCCGAGCTGCATTGCCTGGCCGGGGGTGCTGATGCCATCTGACAGCATTGGTGGTCCCACATTCCTCACACGCATTTGTGACCTGCAGGTGCAGGAGGCACAGGAGACCCTGATGCCACGAGTGCTGGCCACGCTGGAGGACGACTCCCAGACCACACGCCTGATCTCCTGCCGCATCATCAGTATGTTCCTCAAGAACTCAGGGGACACCATGGAGCCAGAGAAATTCCTCAAGATCTATCCTGGTGAGACAGCAGACCCACCACACACACACACACACACACACACACACACACACACACACACACACGTACACACACCACGTTATTTAGTAACTTCTTTTGTAGTCAGACATAGAGAGTATTTCTTTTGACCCTTGATTAAGTTGATACTGTGCATCCATATGCCGCCACAGTGACAGATGAGCCGGCCCTGACTAGCAGCCCAGCGTGAGAAGCAGGGAGATGATGGGGCCAGCCTCTGTTTCCAGGACCAGGAGGGTGTAGCCAGTAAAGGTGGGAGACCCTCCTTGCAGCAGAAATTGTTCAGGTCCCCAATTTTAAAAAAAAAAAAAGACATGAAATGAAGTTTCTGTCCGCCATTGCTAGAGAGAGCAGTCTCCCTGGATCTGGGGTGGTAGGCGTGGTGGAGCCAGCTGAACACCAAGCAGATAGTGGGGCTGTCAGAGCCAGCAGGATCCCACATGGTGACCAGGAGGGGACATCTGTTAGGAGCAGAACACTGGCACAGAGGAACAGATCCATGCTTAACACAGCTCCCAACACATTGTAGTGACTGATGGATGGTCTTCAGGACAAGTGACATTAGAGGCTTGAGGACAAACCCCTTATAATTCTTATTTAAAGTGGCTTGCTATTGTCAAAAAGCTAAAATAATAACATCCTTTAGAAGCAAGTTAACACCTGGCCATTCTTGCACACTGCTCTAATCTCAGCACTTGAGTGGCAGAGGCAGGGGGATTGTTGCAAATGTTCAAAATTTCAAGCCAACCAGGTCTATACAGTGAGGCCCAGTCTCAAAACAAACAAGAAAGACAGGTGTGATGGCATGAAACTGTAATCCTAGCACTTTAGGGGTGAAGGCGAGGAACTCCAGTTCAAGACCAGCCTTAGCTTCACGAGCCCGCCTCAAAAAGAACAAAAAGTCCAGGCTAGGCATGCTGATGTATGCCTTTAACCCTAGCACTTCCAAGGCAAGCAGGTCTCCGAGTTCGAGGCCAGCCAGGGCTAAAGAGGGAGATCATCTTTTAAATGAAAAGTCTCCCAAGTGCATTAAATAAACTCTGAAACGGCTGAAGGAGAAGTGAGTACACTGAAGGCCTTTGGCTCCCTAACACAGCCCCTGGCAGGAGGAATCAGGTCTGTTTCTCCAGGGCTGAAGGCAGACTCAGTTCTCAGGCCTACAGAGCAGAACACTGAGGTGGGACAAGCCTCTACGAGAAAACCCCGCAGGCTCTGCCGGCCTCTCCCACTGGCATTATGTTTCTGGTTGCTTTGTTCTCATTTCAACCCACAGCCTGTGTGGCTCTACTTTTTAGCAAGTTAGGCTAATGTGTGCTGCCGACTGCCAGGGCTGGTGGCTTCCTACTTTGTGGGGAGTGCCAGTGGGAGCGTGCACATGTAGGGCACACCTCTGCTCTGTGGTTATGGCAAGCACAATGCTTCAAACATTGCTGCTTCTTAGTGCATGGCGGAGGCTGTTGGAAGGATGACCTAGGCTGGGTATAGGTACCCAAGGCCAACTCTGAACGGGGGACAGAGAGGTTGCTCACAAAGGGCAGTGCCAGCTGCCACCAGCCTGTCATCTTTGCAAGTTAGCCCCAGTGAGCATCAACTCCGTGTAACTCCAGAACTGGTCTGGGTGCCCTCAGGCCTGCAGTGGGGGAGTCTTTGTGCTCGGGTTCCATGCCTCAGCCACCTCTTGACTGAGGTGTAGATGGTTTCTTTCTGTGCCTGTCCAAAGAGTGTGAGCAAGAAGCATCCAGAGCCGAACATGCTGGGAAGTCCTGGTTAGCCCCATGAGTCCTTCCAGCACGTCCTGTCCTAAAGCCTGTGCACTCTGTGTGTAGTGATGCTTTCCCTGCCTTCAGTAAGCCAGACCCAGCCTGCTCACCATCAAAGGTGCTTGCAACATAAACTCAACTCTCAGGGACAGATGACAGACAGCCTTCCCAACCAACACTCAACTGTTACCACTTGCATATTTTCCAGAAGGTTCATACTATAAAAGTAGGTTCCACGCTGGGCAGTGGTGGTGCACGCCTTTAATCCCAGCACTTGGGAGGCAGAGGCAGGTGGGTTTCTGAGTTTGAGGCCAGCCTGGTCTATAGAGTGAGTTCCAGCACAGCCAGGGCTACACAGAGAAACCCAGTCTCAAAAAACCAAAAAAAAAAAAAGATAGGTTCCAGGTATTGCTTTTTATCCCCTTTGGGCAATTAAGATAGGTTTAGCCCACGATGGTTTAGACTCTGTTTAGCCTAACTGGGCCTCAAACTTATGACAGTACTCCTTCCTCAGCTTATCAGGTGCTTGTATCGTAGCTGTGTGCTGCCACAAAATGCCTGGCTTCAGAGAAGGTCGGGGTTGTTCTGTTTGTATTTTGTGGGCAAGCCTAAGTTTAATGAAACTCTACCCATTACTTTAAAAGTTTTTGCCTATGTCAGGTAGTGGTGGTGCACTCCTTTAATCCCAGGACTTGGGAGGCAGAGACAGGTAGATCTCTCATTTCAAGGCCAGTCTGGTTTATGGAACAAGTACTAGGATAACCAGGGCTACATAGAGAAACCCTATCTTGAGGGGGGACAAAAAGTTTCTCCCTGTCAGGAAGGATAGATTTGTTTTTGGCAGCAGGCAACCTGGTGAAGGAATTTCCACAGAAACAAACCAAGGCTGACCCCGTGGTCGGGTTACTGGCCTCAGGTTCTTGAGCCTGCGGCAGTTGTGAGGAAGGTTAGCCGCGTGCTGTTGTCTGGTGTGGATTTGAGTCTTCTTAGGGGTCTCAGGGCTGTTGGGACTGAACAGCTTCAGGGGAGTGAGGGCCATCATTGAAGGTGCCCAGTGCTAAAGGCACCTTCTCAGGTGGGTTCTTGGTCCCCTAGAGCAAAGGCCCTCACGCCTCTCACTCTCCCCACAGAGCTCTTGAAGCGCCTAGATGATGTCTCCAATGAGGTGAGGATGGCAGCTGCTTCCGCCTTGCTCACCTGGCTGAAGTGCATAGAGAGCTCGGACGGGAAATCCGCCTATCAGAGCAGCGTTCAGTTCCTGTACAGGGAGCTGCTGGTCCACCTGGATGACCCAGAAAGTGCCATCCAAGACACCGTCCTAGGTGAGCTCTCCAGGGCCCACAGTCTGCCCTGAGTTACTAGGCGTGTGAGTGTTTGCCTGTGCATGTCTGTGTAATGCATGTGTGCAATAGCCATGAAGGCCGGAAGAGGGCATTGGCTACTCTCGAGGTGGTTGTGAGCTGCCATGTGATATGAGAATCAAATCCAGGTCCCCTGGAAGAGCAGCCAGTGCTCTTAACTGCTGAGCCGTCTCTCCAGCCCCGCTTCTCTATATTCATATTTACTTTGTGTGTGTGTATGTGGGCTTGTGTGCCAAGCACGGTGCACATGGAGATCAGAAGACAGCTTGCAGGAGGCGAGTCTCTCCCTCCAGCATTCGGATTCCAGGGATGGAACCCGGGGTATCAGATTTGGCCACAGACACCTTTACACTCTCAAAACAAATAAGGTGGAGAATAGTAGAGGAAGACACTCCAGCCCTGACCTCTGACCTGCACACACATACACACACACACACACACACACACACACACATAAAGCGGGGGGATAGAAATACTAAGAATGCTGTTACAAATGGCTTAGCATGCAGGAAGGACACCTGGATGCTGCTGACTTAGAGGGAAGGAGGGTGGGAGTAGTCATTGCAGGGCTGAGGGAAGACTCCCGGCTACACTGGAAACTCCCTCTGGCTTCCTTGGCTTAAGCACCTGCTGGAAGAGATTGCCATTTGTTTGTTCATAATAAAACACATTGCAGGGCCAGTGAGATGGCTCAGCAGACAAAGGCACTTGCTGTCAAGGGTCGAAACCTAAGTTCAATCCCCAGGACCCACGTGGTAGAAGGAGAGAAACCTCAAAGGTTTCCCCTTGAAACCTTTGAGGTTCTACATGCATTAGGAAGGTGGTTTCAACCCTGTGGGATCTACCCAGCAGCCAGAGAAAAAACCTGCCAGCTCTGTAAAGTTGTGAGGTGGGCTCCCAGCCCACTGCTGCTGGATTCAGGGTTCCGTGCTCTCTTCTAGAAGTCCTCAAGGAGGGCAGCGTCCTGTTTCCAGATGTGCTGGTGCGGGAGACAGAGGCTGTCGTGCACAAACATCGCTCAGCTGCCTACTGCGAGCAGCTGCTACAGCACATGCAAACCATGGCTGCCGCTCGGTGACCGTGTGCATCACCCACTGCAGAGAGACCATGGTGTCCTGGAGACCTCGCATCTAAGACAGCCATGTCCACAGGCCTGGCTCCCTAGGACCCCACCAGCCATCAGGTGGTTCTGGAGCATCAGCTCCTGTTTTTCCTAAGCAGATTCTGAGATTTTGAAACATGCCTACTTTTCACAGAAGCGTCAGAAAGCTAACATTAAAGTTAAATGCCCCCAGCCATGCCAGCTTCCCAGTTAGCTGCCTGAATGTGATGTTTTTATTCAAGCCCCAGGGGGTCTTGGGCTGCTTTCAGACTCACCATAATGCTCTTCACATTGCTGGAAAGCCAAAGCAATTGTAAAAACAACAGCCATCCACTTCCTCTGGGCTCTGTCCCATCATCTTGTGCTGAGGACAGTGTCCAGTCTTGACTCACTGATAAAGTTTCTCCCAGTTTTTTTGGTTTTTGACACAGAGTTTCTCTGTGAGGCTTTGGCTATTCTGAAACTGTAGATCAGCCTGGCCTTGAACTCTCAGAGATCCACTTGCCTCTTCTTTCCCATACTGGGATTAAAAGCCTGCACCACTACTACCTGGCTCCTCCCAGATTTTAAATACACCAGAATGTCTTGCAATGTGGGTGCAGTGTCCTGGTGTTTCTGTTTCTCAGCATTAGCGATGCTCGTGGGTAAAGGATAGGAAACCAGCAGTCAGTGAGGTAGTCATGCCCCAGTGTTTTTTCCACCAAGTGCCTAAAAAAAAGACTTCTAAGTGGTTGTTATCAGCAGCCAGTATTTTTGTTGTGACGATGTGGGGGAGGGGTGGGGGTTTCCAAAGAATTTTAACATTTCTGCTTTGCATTTATGGAATTAAATTATTTATTATAGTTAATTTGTGTGGCCATCTGAATGATTTGACTGATTACACTACACCCATACACACAGCTCTGTCTCCATATGTTGGTGTCGGGCTGGTCCAGCCTGAGGGATGCTGGCCATGGACGCCATGGGCCCTCTAGTGACAATCATCACTGCCTGTGATCCGCGTTCTGACATGAGGTAGATGGAGGGCCAAATAAGGCCCAGCCATCACCAGGGTGAGCAGGGCCCCCAGCGTGGTCCTGAGTCTGTCTGGGCATCCAGGGTGAGGTTGGCCTCAGAGTCCCTGGCCCGGTGACTACAGCCTGAAGCTGCATTCTGTCCATCTCCACTATCCTTGCTGCCTGAAGCTCTGTCAGTCGTGTGGAAGACTGTTCGCCTGTTTGTTTTATCTATTGCAATCCTTTATTTGTTGGAGAGGGCACGTAGGCTACAGCGTACATGTGGGAGTCGGACCCGACTCCTGAAGGAGTCAGTTCTCTCCTTCCACCTTGTGGGTTCTGGGGATTGAACTCATGTTGACAGGATTGGCAGCAAGCACTTTGGCCTGCTAAGCCATCTTGTTGGCCCGAGACCCAGCATTTTATTTATTGTGCATTACTGAGTATTGAACTTAAGACTCTACAAATGTGTTCTACCCCTGAGCCATGCCCCCAGTTCCTCACTTAAGGCAGGAGCTGCCCCGCCCTCTACCCCTAGATCAGCATCTTCACAAAGAGATACCAGCAAGGATTTCAGGCTTCCTGGACCTTCCGGTTCAGCTGTTGCCGGGGCTCCCGCTGCACACTAAAGCCATTGTGGATGCATTGCTCATGGTGTGGGTGTGTTTCCCATTGCTCTAAACAGAACGGCTGGGTCAGATCTGAGAGGTGAGTCCGGTCGGTGGTTATTTGTAGCAGCATTATTGATCTGAAGTTAGAGTGGACCGTTGGGTGACAGGCACGCACACCACAGAACCGTCTCCATCACGGCAGACCACTTTGAGGAGCCTGCTCTCTCCTCCATGGATTGGGGGCAAGGACTTTAACCACGGTGACATTAGCGTCACACGGACACTTAGAGCAGTGCAGACAGGCCATCTCACCAGCTGCCTCCTTTGGAGGGAAGATGCTTCTTTTGGAAGAGAAGCCTCCCTAGGGTGGAGGTGGGAAGACGAGGACAGGAGCCGTGTCCTTTCCACCTCACGCTCACCTTTCCTTTTGAAGAAAACCCTGAGTCAAGCACATGTAAACAACTGGGTTTCTTTTATTTTTTTGAGACAAGGTTTCTCTGTATAGCCTTGGCTGCCCTAGAACACTCCGTAGACCAGGCTGGCCTCCCTCGACTCAGAGATCTGCCTTCAGCGGGCTGGGGTTAAAGGTGTTTGCCACCTCTGCCTGGCTAACAAATGAGATGGCTCAGTGGGTGAAAGTACTTGGCAGACAAGCCCAGTGACCTGAGTTCAATCCCCAGAAGCCGTGTAAGGGTCAGTGGAGAGAATGACTCCCACATGTGCAGTGTGCCATGTGTGCAGACACACATGGATGATATACAGGAGTAATGAAAACTCAAGGGCTGCAGAGGTGTCTCCATCAGAGGCAGGAAAGGACTGATTCTGTCAAGTTATCCTCTGACCTACCCCTCACAAAATGGCATGTTGTACCCTCCCCCGACATGCAAAGGAATACAATTTAATTTTTAAAAGGGGGGAGGGAAGCCAGATGGTGGCGGTGCATACCTATAATCCCAGCACTCAGGAGGCTGGTGGACCCCTAGACTCTAGGCCCACCTGATCTACAGAATGAGTTCCAGGACAGCGAGGGCTACAAAGACAAACCCTGTCTCAGAAAGAAAGAAAGAAAGAAAGAGAGAGAGAGAGAGAGAGAGAGAGAGAGAGAAAGAGAAAGAGGGAGGGAGGGAGGGAGGAAGGAAGAAAATAAAGAAAAGGAAAAAGAAAGATCTCTTAACCAGTATCATTGCAAAATTGCTTATAATCCTAGCACTTGCTGGTGGAGGCTGAGGATCAAGAGTTTGAGACCAGTTACATAGAACCTTATCAAAACAAAACCCTGACTCAAGGTCCGGAGTGGGAAACTAGATAGTGATCATTCCAGAAGCAGTCAATGCTGGGCGGGGAGGGGGAAGTGGAGTGAGGAAACAACCCTAAGACTCCCCTCATGGCCAAAACTGGAACACCATGAGCAACAAAACAAAATACTTTTTTTGTTTTGTTTTTTGTTTTTCAAGATAGGCCTGGCTGTTTTGTGTAGCCCTGGCTGTCCTGGAACTCACTCTGTAGAGCAGGCTGGCCTCGAACTCAGAAATCCACCTGCCTCTGCCTCCCAAGTGCTGGGATTAAAGGTGTGCGCCTCCACTACCCAGCCAAAACAAAACACTTAACCGCTAACTTCCTGAAGCACAAATAACCCAGGCAGGGCTATACCTCCACATTTCCCTAACATGAGGAAGAACCTTATTTCCATCCTCAGTACCACAAAAGAATTCAAAGTAACCCACAAGTTTATGGTGATGCAAAGAAGTCAGGTCTAGCAGTACAAACCTTAGACTCACCTCCTGGGGAGGCTAAGGCAGGTAAAATTAGAGACCAGCCTGGGATAGATTCAGAGTGAGTCCGAGACCAGACCTTGTAGATGCAGACATATACATAAGTTTTTAAATAAACGGTGGTGACGCACACCTTTAATTCCAGAACTGGGGAGGCAGAGGCAGGCGGATTTCTGAGTTCAAGCCCAGCCTGAGTGAGTTCCAGGACACCAGGGCTACTCAGAGAAATCCAGTCTCAAAAACAATATCAATTAAGATGATACCTGACAGTGATCAGTGGTGGCTCATGCCTTTAAGCCCAGCACTGAAGACCCAGAAGCAGGCAGAGCTCTGAGCTCTGAGTTTGAGGCCAGCCTGGTCTACAGAGAGAGTTCCAGGATAGTTAAAGTGACACAGAAATCCTATCTCAAAACAACAAAGATGATGTCTGTTGTCAGTCAACCTCTGGCCTCTGCAGACATGTACACGTGGGTTGCACATCCAAGCATAAATACAGGAGCAGGCACACGTGTGCACAAATGTGTACACATGCACACACGCACACAGCAGTCAGCTCCGAATTGCATCTGTAGCTTTGTCAATTGTCCTGTGCCCAGTGTTAAATTCCTGGTGTCTATCACGTCTGTGCCTTAGTTATGTAACATGTTAATGTTACGAGAAGTCAAGCAGAACAGACCAGAATGCTCTGTACCAATTTTTCTATTTTTGTGTTTAAGACGTCCTAAAATATTTCCATGTAGAGATTAAAATACATACACAGATGGGCGAGAGCAACTAGAACACTCATCTTTCTCCTAAGTGGGTGAGCAAGCGGTCTCCGGGAAGGGAAGACCTGTGTGTGATCTGGATGGTGCCCTTTGGTGAAATCCCAGCGTTGTGTTGGGATGGCGGCTCCTGTCGGGATAGACCACACCAGGCCAAAGCAGTTCCACGTGGCAGAGGTTTTATTAGGAAAGAACAGAGACAAAGAGGAGAGAGAGAAAAGACAAGGGAAAAAAGGGTTGAAGGTGGGGAAAGGTTTGCCTTTTATCTAGGCTGTGATGTAGGCAGTTCCCAGGTGAGTGTGAGGAGTGGGCTCCAAGAAGGTATGCAGGGTTGTCATGGCAACAGATGTCACCTATGTGTGACATTCCTGAGTTTGGAGCCAGTTTGCCAAGCTGTGGGTACCGAGTTAAAATAAATGCCCTGGGCAGGAGCAAGCTTGGCAACTTAGAGAAGTGGTAAGGAAGCCATCCCGGATGCAAGCCTCCATGTGGGCTAAGGGACACAATAGGAGAACAGTTTGGATAGATGTCAGGAGTAGAGTCATCCTCCTGACTCTACCTGCATTTGTTAACATTTCCTTCCTTTTTCCCTCCCTCCTTCCCATCCTTCCTTTTTTCCTTTTTAAACAGAGGGTCTCTTTATGTAGCCATGGCTTATTCTGAAACACAGACCAGGCTGGCCTAGAACCCATAGAGATTGGCTTGATTCTGTCCTCAGAATGCTGGAACTGAAGGCATACACAACCCTGCCGGCCTTTGTTACCTTCCTCCAGTGCCTGTGTAGCAGGGAGCAACACAGACTTGTGCCCTGCCCCCATCCTCTGCCTCTCCACAATATCCCAGCCCCACATAGACAGCCTTTTCCTTTTCATGGCCAAAGCCACTCCTTGCAGGTAGAACTTGTTAAAAATATTTACATTTCAGTGGTTCCTGTGTAAATCGATTTCAAAGGCTACAGCTTGACTAGACTTTCTGCCTGTAAGTCCTAGGACTCTGAGGCCTGAGGCAAGATGATTACAGTGAGTTCAAGGTCAATTTGTGCAACTTGTCTCAAAAGAACGGAAGAGATGGCTCAGCAGATAAAGCACAGAACCTGTAGGCTTGAGTTCATATTGCAGAAATCCATGAATAAAGCTGGAGTCTGTGGTATGTATGTATACTCTCAGCACTCCAGGGATCAAGTGACAAGATGACCCAAGAGAATCTTCTACAGGCCCACAGGCCTGGAGTACTTAGTAAGGCAGCAAACACCCAGAGTAACTGTCTCAAAACAGGTGGAAGGCAAGAACCAGTACCCAAAGACAAACAAGAAATAGAAGAAGGAGCTGATGAGGTGGCTTCATGGTCAAAGGCACTTACTTGTCACCAAGCCTGATGACCTTATATTGCATCCCAGGGACTTACATGGTGGAACTGACTCCTGAAAACTGTGACTACATATGCACAGTGGCACACACACACACACACACACACACACACACACTTCCATAGGCTACACCTCCATCAGAAACATTTTCTACTTGTGGTTTGTTTATCATTCAGCTAGTAAAGCAAAATATATATATATATATATATATATATATATATATGTATAAATTTTCTCCATGATTTTCTCAAAATGCTGTAGTTTGGTGTATCCATTCATATTTGTTTTGTTTTGAGATACTCTGTGTAGCCCAGGCTCATCTCACACCCGTAAGGTAGC